TTAATAGGATTTTTTACTAACCAGAATTTTACTAAAAGAAAACGATTTTGCAGAAAAAAAAAAAAAAAAAAAAAAAAACAACCAAAAAAAAACCAAACCAACCAAACAAAAAAAACACCCAACCCCCCCCCCAAAACAAACAAACAAACAAACAAACAAACAAACAAACAAACAAACCCAAAAAACTGGAGTAAGGGATGTACATCTGAAATGTGATTTGCAGGTATTATATGCTTGGGTTTTAAATGCTACCAAAGATGATTTCACATTACATTATATGTATTCTTTTAAAACAGCAACAAAAAAAGGTGGTTTTAGCTGGTTAAGTGCTCCTGGCCTGTTTATCTACCACACAATGTATCAAAAAGGACGAATTAGCTTCAGTGAGAACCAGTTATTTACAAAGTAGGAAAATACTGGATATAGGAAGCTAAAATCTTTCCACTGCTGATACATTTTTTCTGCTCTTGATATTTATGTTATTTAGTGGCAAAATATGGTAGGTCTGGCTGGAACTGATCTACCAACTGAAAGCTTTCTCGTCTGACTATGGCATCAGGAATTCCTGTCTTCTCTTGTTGCAGAGACATACAGGAATTGAAATACACATCCTGAATTAAGGGGTGCTTGGAAAATACCCAGTTTTGATGGGTCACTTTAGAGCTGACGTGTAGAAGCTTTTGAATTAGTGTACACCACAGCTTTTTTTTATGCCTGTCCCATTTTCTAAGCGTACATTTGATTTGTTTGGCAACACGTGCAACACCAGGTCAGAATGTGTCACTGAGGTGTGATGCAGCTTTGGAGTCTGCAGCTTTTCTGGGGCATATTTAGAGCAGCACAACCTGAATGTACAGAGCTCAGAGCAAAGGCTTTGCATGTCAAGTGACTGCAGTGCATCAGGTTTCCTAAATGTTATGACACTTCAGTGTTTGGTGTAAAAATCATGATAATCTATATCGTCATCCATTGCTAAATTTGTCAGCTTATCTGTGTTTTCTTTTCTGTTTCTTTCATGTGCCTTGAACTATCATATCAATACAAGCTTTGGAAATAAAAATCAAAATATAAACTGTATTATTTTACAATAATTGTTCTTGTTTTCTTCAAAAAAAACCAGTAAAATGTCTTACACTTCCTTGAATTTTCCTGACTTATTTTGCTACTTGTTTTATCAATGTAATGTCTACAACCAACTCATTTGACACTGATAAATGAAATTATAATTGAAAACTAAACATATGAGAGAAAACTAATTCAGAAGTCTTTAGTTAGTTCTGGAGCTGATGTGATGAGACTCTCAGCCTATGACCAAGGAGTAAGCCTAATATTTATCTTGCTGTTAATTTATATGAAAGCAGGAAAATTACAGTTTTTTTCTTCTTGCAGCAAAAGAATATTAATTCTGTTAGCCTCAATTTAACAATTTCTTATCTGTACTAGGAAATACCCCATGAGGTGCTCTGATGCCTGCTCAAATGCATGGCATATGGAACTATGAATTATTCACCCACTGAAGGGAATAGCACAGATGTCACCAGTTTCTTCTGCATCAGCTCAGTCACTGCTGATTTGCAAATACCAAAATGAGGAAACCTTTCCTATGCCACCACTAGTAACAAGCCTCCCATTTGAAAAATGTATAGCAGAGAACCTTTCTGGTTTTCTGAGTTTCTGAGTTTCCCTGGATCATGGACAGAACAGTTGAACAGGCAGCATTCCGCTCAAGGACACTGTGCTTTGTTCCTGCTCCAGAAGCCATTTTAACTTCATGGTACAACTACTTATTTTTTTTTTTGGTCTTAACTGTGTCTTTATAGCCCACCCCTTTTTTTTAGGCAAGTTTTTTAAATCTTGACCAAATGGCCCACACTCCATTGAAACATTTAGGGGGCTTCCAGCACTGGAGACTCAGTACTAAATATTGTGCTGTATTAAATCTGACCAACAAAGACATGAAGATAATTTCCTTCTGATTATCAGTTGGAGTCCAGGATACTCTGTTATGGCTAAAGAAACCAAGGACTCCAAAGAACCAGCAGATATCTCTTTGAAAATCCAACAACTGCTGCTGCACTGATACATTCAATATTCTGATGATTCATACACCTTGCTGCCTAGAAATCTCAAGTGCAGAACATCCCAGTCAGCTTCAAGCAAACCTCAAGAAACAATGGAAAATTCATTAAAATCTTGCACATTTGTTACGTATCTATGTGTTACTGATCCTTAATTTAATTAAATTGTAATTTCATGATACAAACGTTTTAAAATGCAGACTAAAGATGCACACAGAGGTTTGTATTTCACATGAATCTACTGCAGCCTTCTGTGACTGAGCTGTCACCTTATCCAACCTCCCATTACTAGTTCAGGAGCTCAAAGGTGGGCTGAACACAAGCTATGCAGGTTTTTTGGTAGAATTTCTGTGGAAGATGAGACTTTTTCTGCGGAAGATGAGACTTTTTCTGCTTTGTGAGAAGTCAAAGAGCACATTGTCCCAGGACAAATCCTTCTGTGAGCTGAAATGAGTGATTGGTACCACCAAGGCCAAGGTCAGGAGACTTCCTATGCATGAGAACACACGAGGAAACAACAGCTCCATACTTTCACCAGCTGGCCAAGCTTGACTTTTATTCACAGGGAACAACACTCAATAAATCAACACTTGCTTTTAGCTTAAAGCCCTCACTCCTGATCACATTCATTCCTTTAGAGTTAGTAACAATAATGTTCCCTTTTGCAGCTTGGCTTTGAGTCATGAATGCGGCTCCCCCGAACAGACAAGCAGGCACCAGGCTTCCTGTGAGAATGCCAGATGTCACTAAAAAATATCATAAACATAGTTGTCCCCTTGCATTTGTGTCTGTGGGGAAGATACACAGCAGTAGTAACTATGAAAGCAGTGACTTGATACATCAATATTTATAATAGTTCTGGACATCAATACAGCAATTCTTACAAGAGTTCATTTAAGGCGTGTTTCTCCTGTAAGAACAGAAAATGTCAGAAGAATTGATTCAATAAAACCAGCAATAAAAAAGTGTGCACCAGAAGAATTATGAAGATTGACTTACTCCTGTAAATGAAAGAAGTGTTCATTTTATAATTAAATACCAATTAAAACATGCAGCAATTGCTTATTATTTTAGGAGCACTGCAGTATGCTGTTGCAATTATCTTGACCACATCTTATTTTATTAAAGACTGAGGACACTCTGCACATTAACACCTCTGTAAAGAGTTCAAACTCAAAAGCACAGATGCATTGTTCACAGGCGGATGGCAAGGACTGCCAGATGAAGTGACTTGCCAAAGGTTATAACACAGGTAAGAGAAAAGCCACCAACCCAGGAAACTTTAAACATTAAAACATTAGTCCTGTCACAGCTTCATATTAGTTCCAATGAAGAGAAGTTCCATTACATTTTATGGTAACACCATCCTGAATATTCTTTTCCATAAGACAGGAACAAAGGATACAGAGGAAAAATGCACCTTACTGAATCTCCAAGACCATTCAGGTCAGAAGTGCACTTGGGTTGCTTTTGATGGGGAACAATCTAAAATTAATTTTTCTGGCACTGGCTGCAGTTCTGCAGTGTTGATGCTGCTGGACCACTCTAAAGTGGTTTAAGATGATATTGTTACACCAGCTGAAACATCAGATTGGCCATACCCATCCTTCTGCAGACAGCTTTTTTAAGCTAAAGGATTAATTATATTGAAATCCCCAGCATTTTTTTTTTTTTTTTTGACAACTCCTGATGGATGCAGAAGGTAACATGGGATCTGTAACTTGACACCAGGTGCCATAATGAGAAGGCTGAATTAATGCTTTGTACACTTTTCACAGCTGCAGCATGGAGGTATTTATGGATAAATAAACTGAGCATCAGACTGGCCATGTGTCTTTGTCCAGGCCTTGTGGATTTAGGCATCAGACCAAACCCACAGCTCCCCCTGCTCTGCAACAAACAGTTGGGCTGCAACACAAAGACCCTCATTCAATCATGGAGCTTGTTCAGCTCTTCCAGGCTTGAGAAGTCAGATTTTCAGACTCTGGTAAATTCTTGACTGGCAAATTGCTTAGCAGGCAAAGGATTGCTGCCCATTCCATGCATTTTCAAAGCTGTGTTCTGTCTCCAGGAGGCAGTTGGCAAGGATGAGTGATTATTGAGAGTTCAGAACCAAAACCAAAGAGTGACATGCACAAAAAAAGAGGAAAGTGGAAGGATAAGTGAAAGTAGAGAACTGCAACACTTGGTCTTCACTAAAATTTAATTTTTGTTCATATTTCCAGCTTCAGATAAAACTGGACTTGCCAATGGACTTGCCAGCCTGTAGGGCTACTTCAGATGTTAACCCACATCAGTACTCAGATAAACTTGCATCAAGGAAATGAAAAAATCTTAAAAAGGTTACAACCTTATTTTCCAGTTGGAAAGGCAGTAAGAGTGATGCGGATGGAACACAGCAACAAGTCCAGTAACAGCCATGTAAAAAAGCTGGGTTTTAAGGGGAAGATGGTCCTGTTGAAGTGAAATCTGTCCTATTACGCAGAGAACCCTGGGGCTTCTTTCTCCTGTGCAGAACTGGAAGCTATCGATGTTCTAAGAACATGGATTTCATTGCACTACACAAGCCCTTTGAGTAATCTTTCTTACAATTGCTGGTAACAGCTTGAAGGCAATAATGACCAGTAACTGAATTTAGTCATTGACTAGAAGTGGATGAACCTAAATCTTTATTAAAATACTCCATTCTTCTTTCCAGAATGACCAAATATTTTCTAACAAGACAATTTTAAATGTAATGGTGTTTGTCTTAGGAAATTAGTACTGTATGTCTCATTTGAGCTGGGAAGCAACTCCATT